TTAACTAAGATCAATTACAGGGCAGGATTAAATCTTGTGAAAAAGAGATTCAAGTACACAAAATCCAATATCATGCCAGTGGCATTAAGGGGGGAACCCCTCTGTTCAGCAGCAAAAAAGATGTAAATTACAAGAATTTGATATCAAATAAGTTCACACAGACTTCTTTTGTTTAATGGAACACGGATGAGAAGATACTCAAGGGAAGGCCCAAAGGGCAGAAGAACTAATCTAATCTTTGATTGAGATGTTGTGAAGAAGAGCAAGAAGCCTCAAGATAGTCCAAACTGGGAAAAAGAGGGTTGTGTGGAAGTTAAGTCACAAACCCGGTAGTTAAAAATGCACAGCAGGAAAAGATGTCATTGGTACATCAGCATTTTAAAATTAAAAATAAATTTAAGTAAGAATTTTCTCATCTAGCATTCTACAATGAAGGATGCTTTTGAAGCAGAAATTCATCCAACCACTTAAGTATCAAAAAGTACAACTGGTGCTTCATGTGTACTGTAGCTTTACAAATTCATTAACCACAATACAATTTCTTCTGTCACCAACATGCTTTTATTTTAGAATACTGTTCCAGCTAATAAGCAGAATTGGTCATGCAACAAAAACTTAGAAACTGGACACATTCTAAAGATCACCTTTGCAGTCACATTAGGATTTCCATCACGATCACCACCCATCCAAGAGCCAAATTTTATTGGTGTGCATGTTAATGGAAGTGGCCTTCCAGTTTGCTGAGGAAAGAAGCAAGGCAAAATATGAAGGACCTGATCACAGATGCAGTGACAAAGATCCAGACTAAACATATAACGAAGAAAAACCTTCTTAAGAGAATTGCTGATACGACGTAGATAATGAGGTACAGCTTTCCAAAGTGATTGCTCCACAATATTCAAGCCTAAAAAATTAAACTGATTAGCTTTCTGTAAGAAGAAAAAGTGAATCAAAGTACATCTAAACAGGGAGTTTACCAGCCCTAGCTTCATCAACAGGAGTAGGTCTGTGGCGCCTAAGTTCATCTGTTAGCCAGATGGAAGTAATCTCTCTTGCCTAGCAAAATGAGTAACGATTATGCACCATGATGCAATCTGAATAGCTAACTACTTTGAATAAAACACAGACCAGATCTTCTATCAGCATTTCTTTGTCCTCTAGCTCAAGTTCTTTCTGTCGCTCATTATATTCCAAGAGATGCTGCAAAAATTGTAGTTATATTTTAGGAAAGTAAAATTTGAACACTTAAAACTCTAAATCTTTATGTGAATTTTAAAAATTATTACCGCAATCCTGATATGTTTGTATTGTAAGGTACGTCGATTTATTTGTGTGGGATGGGCAGTGAGGACAATCTCAACCTCCTGTGAAATACAAATAAATGGGGATTGGCATCATAAACTGTAAAAATCAAATATGTATTTCAACAATAAAAACAAACACAAAAGGGATATTAATGACAGACTTGCTTGCAGACAGTCTCATAGAGCTGGTCCGCAGTTATGCCACTCTGCACAAGCTGGTTGAAAGTATCATCACAAGATTTTGATGATTGTACCACACCACGATTTCTACGTAATCTGCAGGACCACTTGTTAGTCTACAGCAACTATTTGAAACGTTTAGTACTCATTCCAATAGCTTGTCAATGATTGCAGTTCAGAATCTGTTTTCCGGTGATAACTTGGAACTTAGCACTAGCTATCAATATTGGAAGTGTTTTCAATAGAAGGAGATGAAGTAACAACTTGAATTTGGACAATTTGTAACTTTAAAATAAGGACATGATTTAAATGTCAACATGTAGGATTAGTCGAGTAGTAAATTCACTATCTTAATCAAAATCATCCTATAATAGCAAAATCTATAAACTATCTTGCATTGGTAAGAATAAAGCTAGTTTTCTTGCTTATACTGTTGCCTGACTAGGATCAATAATCATATCTCAGAAACTAAATAACTGCACAATCAACTTGTAAACAGAGCGTTTTTAAAGTACTGTATACCTATGATGAGTTTCTGCAATTCCCATCAAATTGAGCTGATGACTCAATGTTCGAGCAAGGGATAAAGCTTCTTCTAGTGTCAACTTTGACAACTCTGCTGCAAGCTGTCTCTCAAGCAGCTCTGCTGTAGCCTCGATTCCTGCAATTCTCAAGTTACATGCACTCTGCAGGCCAAAAGAAAATTGAATTACATTACACGTAGACATGTAAACAAATGGTTCAAGAACACAAATATGCTTTTTTACCAACAAACAACCCATGTCCAGACAAAAGGTACTACACTAGAGAGAACCAAACAGGACAAAAACAGAGAGGTAGCTAAAGATCGATAACTTTGGGCAGCAATGAAAGAAAAACAAAGCTCTCACGCAAAAATCAAAAACATGCAAAATCTCAAAATCGTCCATACTAATTTGAGTGTCTGGCTAACTAAATTAAGCTTCAAATCCCACTAAACTGAAGCCACAATAAAAAATGGCTTGGCATAATGAGAATGATGAAATACCCTTAAAACTACAAGAGATGATGAGATATCATCAATTAAAAGCATTAACATCATAATGCATGGAAACAGCAACAACCATCAGCAAGAGATCCGAAGGATGTACACAAATATGCATGCAAAAAAAAATTATTTAACAAAAGGAAAAAAAATGAGGAACTGAAAAAACCAAAACATGCATGCATGAACCATAGAATCTTCCCAAACAGAACATCCAAGCCATCAACGACAAGGGAGTTAAAAAGAATCAAAATTTCCCCGGAATACACATAATCAAGAAAACCAGAAACGGACGACATTACAACGAAATCCGAAAGGGTTCAAAAGAGAAAAGCAAAATAAAATGAAGAAATCCCATAAAGCAAAAGGGCAAAACCTGAGCAAGAGTTCGGGTTCTTTCAACAATTTCCATGAAATTGTGACCAACTTCTCTTTGAAGGACGTCATTGAGGAGGCTTTGGAGGAGTTTATAATCATCTTCAAAGCCCTGAAAAGATATCTCCTCTGCTATATCATCAGTTATATCCGTCATTCTCTTCTCCTTGGTCTAGTGCTGCTCCTGCTGCTTTCTTTTACTGAGAATGATAACAATGGAAATGTGTGTGTGCTGTTGTGTGTGTGACTGTGTGTGTGTGGAGAGGAGTGAGAAAAAAGGAGTTGAGAGGGATGGAGTGGTATCTGATTGGGAGATTCGATGGGGTGGGGATTGAGGCTGTGTACGGAGGGCGAACGTAGGGCGTACGAGAGAAGAGGAGTCGAGGTGGACGGTGGATGGTGACAAGCGGCAATCAGTGAGAATTCACAGGGACCCCCTTTTTGTTTTTTCTGGGACTCTAACAGTCCAACGACTTTTAGGACCTTTTATTCCAAGAATTTTGCCATTTTCTTATCCTTCGAAATTTCACACATTACTCTCCCGTACTACTGCTCCGCCGGATACATCTGATAAAATTGAAATTTAGAATCTAAAATTTGATGTATTTAATAAAATTGAAATTTGAAATCTGAATCCACCAAATCAGTGAATTGTTGAGTGTCAAATTTGATACATTTGAATGTATATTATATTAAGTGATAAATAAATAATTTATCATTTATTTTTTAGATCAAATTTTACCAAAGAAATTCAATGTCACGCCACTTTAATGAATTCAGATATTTTAGCTTTGATTATCAAATGTGCGTGAATATATTAAGATTTGAATCTATTAAATTTAAATGATTTATTGGATTATCAAACATAACAGTAAACCTTAGTGTTATGAGTAACAATTAAGGATTTTAAGGAGCAACAAATGGTTTTATTTGCAAAGCTGCCTAATGTATCCATTACAAACGTTTTTTCTCAAATTGCATTGATATGTACTTTCTTTCTTCTTTTTTTTTTTTTTAATGTTAACATAAGTATACCTATATAGAAGTATATCTTTTATTACGACATTAAAATTTAAGTTTTGGCAATATCATTTCCTAAAGAGCACAGCTAATCTTTTGATGGTTCTTGAAACAAGATCGTTGTACCTGTGACGTGGGGAAACAAAGAAAAGACTCCTTCACTTTGTACCTACCAATACGAGTATTTTTATGCAATTTGAGATTGTAAAATTGTCTCACCTGGAATTCCTATGAAGGTACAAACCAGTAAGCAAAGTGGTCCCACTCCTTGGAACCCAAGCAAATTGACTTTCAACATCTGAATCAATTGACAGCGCCAAAATTTATTAATTATTAGCTCCAAAAAGCGCCAACCCCTCAATTCTGCGAGTTCTAACCTATGTTTTCAGAACCGGACCGGATAGCGACTCGGCCGAGGTCAGGGGTCAGGGGTCAATGGGTTCGACCGGGGGTCGATAGGGGTCGAACCGGATGACGTCATAAATAAAAATTATTTAAAAATTAAAATATTATATATATAATATCTAATAATATATTGATATTAATAAAGGCATATTCATATATATTTGATGTTTCAAATATATTTAACAAGAAAATACAAAGAAATTAGAACAATCAAGTAGCAATTTATATTATTTAATAAATATTAACAAGTTTAGAATTAAAATTATGAATTTAATTGAAAAATAACATCAAATTTTAGGACAATATTTATAAAGTATCAAATATTTGAGCTATATCAATAAGTTTTAACAATTTAGGGGGTCAAAACATAATATTAAAAAGTTTGAATTTTTTTAAAAAAAAATTACTGTTGAACCGGAAAAACCGGTTTTTTCCCGGTCAAACCCGATCAAACCCGGTTTTTGACCGGCTTTGACCGGATTTTAAATTTCCGGTTTTCTAATGTGACTCGGACCGGCTACCTGGCCGGTTTCCGGTTCGACCGGTTCGATCGGCCGGTTCGGTCCGAGTCTGAAAACAGAGGTTCTAACAGTAGTTTGCTCGCAGGTCAACTTTAGTAACGAAAAAGTCTGAGTTTCTCGGTCATCGGAAAAAGTATTGTGGGGTAGTACCCACCATCTTTCAAGTTTCAAGTTAAAAAGCATTCGGATACTAGTAATTGCTCAATTCTCAAGTGGGTTTTACCTGCAATTGCAGAAAAAATGGAAAATGAACCAGCAATGTGTCATCTTCACAGCCGCCGCCGCCGATGCCGAAAGTTGGGGTGGCCGTGTTTTTGCTGAAGGGAAATAAAGTGCTATTGGGGCGGCGCCTCTCCTCCGTTGGCCGCAATACCTTCGCTCTTCCTGGTGGCCACCTTGAGTTTGGTACTCTCTGATTAATTAATTAGTTTCCCTCTGCCTTCACTTTCTCTTCACATTTTTTGGTATCAAATGATAGAAGTACTACTCTTACATTACCTGGATTCTCTTAGCCCTTTTTCTGTTTTTCTCTTTGTTTTGTAAGACTAAACATTATTATTTATGATGATACTTTGGTCTGATAATCACAATCTTCAATAATAGATCAATTCACTTGCAATTTGTTTTCTTGCACCTAGCAGAGAGATATTAATTTTTTAAATAAGTTTCGTCAAAAAAAAAAAAAAAAAAAAAAAACACTTACCATGGTCTATATTTTACATGATGCAAGCTTTTTAACAAATCATGAAGTTCACATTAGTGCTTTAAGGATTTGTTCATTTATGTGCTTTTAATTGGCTGTAAATTTACTCTCCGCAATCCATCTAAGGTTTTAGTATATTTGCTGTTATTATGCTGTAACTATGCTTGTTAACATGACGGTGATGCATCAAAAACAAGTGCAGTTCAATCCATATGTGGAAATTTATACTATTTTTCTCATTTCCTGGTTTAGGAGAAAGTTTTGAGGAATGTGCAGCTAGGGAGGTGAAGGAAGAAACAGGACTGGAAATCGAAAAAACAGAGTACTTAACTGTCACAAACAATGTATTCTCACAAGAAGCTAAAGCAACACACATTGTTTGTGTCTTCATGCGTGCAGTTCCAGCCGACATCAACCAGCAACCTCAAAATCTTGAGCCTGAGAAATGCGATGGATGGGATTGGTATGACTGGGATGATCTTCCAAAACCACTTTTTGGGCCATTGGAGATTATGCTCCAACATGGTTTTAGTCCTTTTCCCACCACTTAAAATGGTGTCATTTGCTTTCCTTAGTAGTGCCCATTTTGCTCCGTGAGCCCTTCTGATTTAGAAGAAGCCTGCACCATTAAGATTTCTATGTTGCTTATAATTTCCACCCATCTCAAAGTTGTAAGGTGTCGGTAATGAATTTTGCTTACTTTCTTGTTTTTCAGTATCTTACTTTCCTACCACAAAAAAAAAAAAAATGTATCTTACTCTCTCTAACCATGCATTGCTACCCAGCAGATAATTGTTGATTAATATGCAAACTTGTATTAATCCATGCTTGCCAATGAATCAATCATGTTGGTATTCCTGAGTGATTTTCGAGTTGCCTATCAATTTTCCTGTTAGTGATTATGATTAGCATGCCTTAATAGTTTTACCTAAGGCTGATGTTGAGCTGACTAGCCTGACTCAAGTTCGCAAGCTACTCGAAAGTATTATTGAGTCAATTTCAAGCTTAAAAATCAAGTACTCAAGAGCTCGACAAGCTCTATCGAAAATTACATTAAATAATTAAAAAATGAATATTATATATGTATGGACACATACGAAAATAACTAATATAAGCTCGGCATTATTCGAGCTTGAGCCAAGTTTTCAAATTTGATGAGACTCGACATTGTTTTCGAATCTTATTGAGTCGAGATAGAGTATTTTGCAATTTTCTCGAGTCAAGTTCAAGTTTGGGCTTATTGACTTGCTCGAACTCGAGCACAAGCTGAAGTATTACTTGTACTCTTTCAATTTGAGTTTGAGTATGGTGCTGCTCAAACGACTCGACAGCACCCCTAGTTTTATCCCACAAAAAAAAAAACGAAAGTTTTGTTTGGATAGAGTATTATTCCAAATAATTATTTGGAATAATTACTGTAACACTTTTTGTGATGTGATGTATGTGAGATAAAAAAGTGATTAGAAATATAAAAAGGTGGATTGAGAAATGTATTTATGATATAAACAAAAAAAATTTTAAAAAAAAATTTGCTATCCAAATATAGTCGCACTAAAAAGACAGATAACGGTTCATTATTGTATTGAAAAATAAATGTTTTGTATTTTTTGTAAGGCCCCTGCCAAATCTATAGTTATTTTGCGGCCCAATCCACGACAACAAGTGACGACACAACATTCAAATAGAAACGAACTAAAATCAGAATTCTGCCCATAAATAATGCTCAAAGTGGATCAATTGTTAGAGCCCATAAACAATAATCTTAAAATGTCGGCCCAATCATCAGAGCCCACGTTGATGGAACATTCAATAATTTCAACCGGGCGGCGGGAAAGTTAACTAACTCTCCAGACTCCAATATCCCCCCGAAAGACGCCAAAGTGCCCACCGCGCGAATAGCCTTTTTTTTTTTTTGTCGTTAAATCCGCTGGGAAGAGAAAAAAAAATAGTCAATTTTTAATTCCCAACTGCTATAGTGCATGATAATGGAGAACGACGCCCTTCCAACATCAAACTCAGTGCCGCCGCCGCCGCCGCCGATGCCGGTGGTGGGAGTCGGAGTGTTTGTGTTGAAGGGTGACAGAGTGCTTTTAGGCCGCCGCCGCGTCTCCGTTGGTTACAATACCTTCGCGCTTCCTGGTGGCCACCTCGAGTTTGGTGCTAGTCCCTTTCCTTCAGCTTTCTTGTTCTTTTATTTGTTCGTTTTTTCCCATTGAATTGTTGATTGCTGTTGTTTCCAATGAGAACTTATTGCTTGGTATTAAACTGTATATGACATAAGAGATCAAGATTGGATTGCCCGGGTCTTAGTTTTGTTGGACTGTTACTAAAGATTGTGAATTCATAGGAGGATACGTGATTCTTGAGACTTATAGTATGATAGTTAGACAGTAGCTGTTGATTGAACGCACATTTTCGGTTTTTGGGTACCCAAGCGTTATTGGGACATAAGTTGCTAAACAGGTTATAAGCAGTGTTTTGGGCTGCAAAAGTTCTCCGAATGGTGCTGAAGAGGGTGTTTCTGTTTTCAAGTTCAAGTGACCTGCATTTCTGTTTTCTCTTCCCTAATAGTAGGACTAGAATTACATGATTAATGGTAATTTGTATTTGTAATTAATTCGATTTTAATGACATTGATCTCAGTTTAGCTTCCTACATAGAATGCCAAGTGGAGATAAAACTCTGAAATAAAGTAGCTAGAAATCAGTTAAATGAAAACCTTTGCTGCGTTGGCCTTTTTTGTTTGCTTTGTGGACATTAACTGCAGGGGTTTGCAAGATAGTTGTATTATAAGTTTATTTCACAAGTGAACTTTTGTATGTGGATGCTTCCATAAAACCTATTGAGTTCGTCAAGATTCACTAAGCATTATACTGATTTATGGGAAGATTGTGCGAGTCTGTAACGCAATTCTGATCTACGTTTGAGTGTTTTGCTCGTAGCATTGATCCTTTTTTTTTTTTCCTGGTGATGACTTATTTACAATCCGTTAACGGACTAGTATGGGAAATGGAACTTTACAACATGATATTCTTGCAGTACTACAACAAAAATTAGTAAGTGCTTTTTGTGTTCCGGCTTTAGGGGAAAGCTTTGAGGAATGTGCAGCTAGGGAGGTGAAGGAGGAAACTGGACTGGACGTCAGGAAAACAGAGTATTTAACTGTCACAAACAATGTATTCTCAGAAAGAGCTAAACTAGTGCATCTTGTTTGCATCTTCATACGCGCAGTTCTAGTGGATGACAACCAGCAACCTCAAAATCTAGAGCCTGAGAAATGTGACGGATGGGATTGGTATGATTGGAATCACCTTCCCAAACCACTTTTTGAGCCGGTGGAGGTTCTGGTGCGAAGCGGTTTTAATCCTTTTCCAGTAAATTGAAATGGTGATCTTCTTGTGCCTACTTTGCTTCCTGAGCCCTTCTACCTTATAGAACAGACAAGATTAAGGTTTCCCATTGCGTATTTTGCCATCCAGAGTTGATGGTTTCTGTAATGAATGTTTTGTCTGTCTTCAGGTCGTTGTCGATTATATTAATCTGCATAGGTATGTGACTGGACAAATAGCTGTTAATCTTGTGACTTGTACGTAATCATGCTTGCTAATCAAGCATTTGGCAGATCCAATCATCAAAGTATATCTGTTCTAAATTTACATCAGGGTAGGAAGTATGTTATATCAGCAAGAAAATCTTGTATTTGGGCTAGAAGAAGTATCCCAGCCCAAGAGTAATTCTGATGATCCTCAAGTATCAGAATTGTACTTTGCACCAAAACTGATAATTTGAATTTCAAATTTGAATTCATGTTATGTGATATGATCTAAACCTGCTAACGTATAAATAAATAAATAAAAAGGTTATCCTTCTTCTTATTGCAATTTTGATACATCAAACATTGGTAGAACCACAATGAGGAACGCTGCCATGTATCTCCATCAAGAATTCGGGAAATGGAAGGTTATATTGAACAGAGGCATGAAGATGTTGAGTAATTTTCTGAACTTAACCACGTTCTATTTTCTCTTTGTTTGATCGCTCCTTTCCTGATGACTACACTCATGCCATGTGCAGTTAAGCAAGATTGAATTCCATGCTTGAGTATAAGTGAAACCAGACGATGAACCTAATGTGGGATGCTTCAGAAGCAAAGAAGCCACTAGTGCTTATTTGGCGGGATTGATTTGCCACTTGGTCTCGATTCCTTCGTGCTAATAACTGACCAAAATGCTCAAAAAAGTCATGGTGGTTTCGTCCTGATGAACATACAGCTGATGATCAATACTTAAAAAGTGGTTTCCCCAGCTATGAACGAGTATGAATTCCCTAGTTTCGAATAGCATCTGCAGTGCTGTTTCCAAACCCGTGATGGCCATTACAAAAATATGTGGATATTATTTTTCATCGCTGCTATTAGGCTGCTATGATGCCTTGCTTACTGTAGAGTGAAACATCTTTCGTCTATCAAATTTATTAGCTGTAATCGGGTAGGGGAACAGGCTTCTCAAGATTTTGGATTGAGTATGAGTTTGGTGTTGAATTAGTTATTGTTTTATGGTAACCTTAGAATTATGTCAGGAAACTTCTATTGCACCCAACACGGTAGTTTAAGCATTGAAGTCCTTAAACTGTGCTTCATTTGTCGTTATATTTTAGGTTTTGATATCATTTGTTTACTCTTCATGTGGTATCCTGGTACCGTTTCTGGTTCAGTTGGTGGGTGTAGATGACCATTAGTTGATCTGTAAAATATGTCCTGTGTGTATTTCAAAACTGGTGCCATATGGGTCGACAGATCTGTGATATGCCCCTGGAAATTCAACAATTGTTGACCCTAAGCTTCTATAACACATGCCCGGTTATGCAGGTCGGTGGAATAAAATCCTAACTATGCTTTAAGAATCTGCTACATTCATAATTGAAAATTTAGAACTAGATAATCATTGCAGCCACACCATCCAGCACATTATGCATCGGACAACAAGCCTTGTTTATTGGCTCAATGTTAATTCTCATTATTACCCCACTTTTTACATGGATTCTCTTATGGCTCTCCTTGCAAAATTTCTCTTTAAGGGCTATATGATCTTGAAACCCCAAATTCAAGGTGTGATAGACGTGTAGTTTCTATTTCACCTATTGTGCTACCTATAGTACTCTGATCTGGATTCTATTTGAAGCAGTGACGGAAAAAATGCCAATTGCATACTTGTGAAATGAATTTGTGCAGCTTCATATGCAAGTAGATTCTCATTCTAGAGATATGCTAGTGCAAAAAGTGCTGGCTTAGTCACAAGACTTGCCTAGTGATTCTTCAGCCGTCCTGCATCTATTTGTATTTACTACCATGCTAGTAGTACACAATCTACAGGTGGAATCAGACTAATAATGTCCCTCTGCTTTTGATTAAAGCCAATAATGCAGGAAACAGAGAGGTGGCTAAGGGAGGCTCATGAATATGTGTGCATCAGTGCACCAAGGAGAATTGGGGTCAGTCCCAGTTATATTTGGTGGTGTGAAAGGACTAATGGGTTGTGACTTATGAGGCCTAGGCGTGGTTTTAGTCACGGTGGGTACGGTTTGGTGTGGATTTACCTGCCCCTTAACTATTTCCAATGCAATTCAGGCCATCAGTCAAGCCTCCCTTTCATTTCCTGCCCCACAGTCCCCTCCCTCCTCTCAGCTTACCGAGTAGCAATTGCCCCCACCAAGGATGAAAAAGATATTCGATCAAATTCATGTCTCCTCAGATTCCACTATTCACTCTTGAGTCTATTTCCACTCCTGAAACTCCTTTGTTTGTGTCTGTTCTGTTGTCTCCCCTCCCCTGCTTTCTGCGCTCTTGTCTATACTCTTCTCTGAGTTGCAATTTTCCTAATACAGTTAGGTGGGGCTGCTCACCCTCCCTTTGTCAGCATTCTCCTGTCACTCCGTCAGTCCACAAGGCTGACAATTTGGGCTACAAACCAAGATATATCACCCATAAAACCTCAATACACAAGGATAACACTACTGAATCATAAATCCTTTCCTTATTCTTTCCTTTGCACTACAGTCCTAGTTGTTATTACTTCCATTTTGTTTTGTTGTCTTTGGCAGATCCCAGATGAAGACAATCATGGCTAAGAACCCTCATGAATCATTCTCGTTCTCTAGGAGATATTTCAACTTCAAGAAAAAGGTTGAAGACGAAGATGATGAGGAAGAAATTTTCGCTTTCAGCTCCTCATCACTTGGTTGTGAGGAGGAGTTGAAAGGTATTGATCAGGATATCAGTCATTCAATGCATACACTTCCTGTCAAACCACCAAAGAAGAAGCTGACAAGTTTAGCTGTTTCCAAGCTTAGGGCTGCTTTTGCATTTGGTAATAAGAATCGCAGTCGCTTTTCTGGTCTTGGCACCAAAGTTGTAGGTACCCTCTTCGGGTACAGACGCGGGCATGTGCATTTTGCATTTCAAGAAGATCCCAAGCTGAGTCCAGCATTTCTTGTTGAACTCGCAACTCCTACTAGCGTTTTGATTAAAGAAATGGCTTCAGGGTTGGTTAGGATTGCTCTTGAATGTGACAGAAAAACAACAGAGAAGAAAAATGTGAAGCCTTTGCTAGAAGAACAAATATGGAGGACTTATTGCAACGGCAGAAAATGTGGTTATGCAACTAGACGTGAATGCGGAGCTGAGGAATGGAAAGTTTTGAACTCTATTGGTCCAATTTCAATGGGGGCCGGTGTTTTACCAGGAGCTGGAAAGGGAGATGGCTCTGAGGGAGAACTCATGTATATGAGAGCCAAGTTTGAGAGAGTTGTAGGGTCTAAAGATTCAGAGGCCTTTTACATGATGAATCCTGATGGTCATGGAGGTCCCGAACTTAGCATTTACTTGCTCAGGGTTTAGGTTTCCTGGCCACTTTTATCTGTATTATCTATTTAGTAGTACCTCAGTTCAATGTTGTAATATATTACTATGAATGAATGCTTGGGGCTTACTCTGCTAAGTCATGAGATAATAGGGCAGCGGTTCTTCATGGGTTTTTTTTTTCTTGCCAATGCAGAATTTCGGAATGTTTGGTTTGGTGTTTTTAGTATGTTGATCAGTTTGAGAAAGAAATGTAGAAACGATGATGGAAGATGTTAGCGATGAGTGTTGTGTCATTTTCATGTATAGATTCTCTTTCCTTCGTTACCAAAACAAGATGCAGATGCAGCAACGTTTGTCTGCCCATTTTTGATAATGGCTAATCTGTGTTATCCAATTACCAGGAAGTTTTCGGGACCCTCCTCCAGATTTTCACATCTATGAGTCATATCCAACCAGCAAGTTCCAGATCTTATCCAATTGTTTTGAAAATTATCCTCTTATCATTTTCTTTTACGTACTACCGAAAATGAAGGTATGTTGTTCTGATGCCAGGAGTGTACATGGGAGATTTTTCTTCACAACTTTTTTCAGTAGTTGTGCACTCATATCATGTTGCCTCGAATTAGGAGAGACTTTTACAGCAATTATGTCGAGAAAAATTTTGCTCGCATGTTATCCCATCTATCACCTTAATCGAAGGATTTTCCACACGGCAACTATTATGTTAGAGCTAAAAGCTCAGAGGCCAATGTCACACCAAGAAAAGTCCACCACATAGCTTTCACTGCAACAGAAATCGATTTTAGAAGTGCAAGCATTAGTTGATGAATGATTAACTACGCACATAGTGAAGTCAAATGATTAATCATGATTTTGCTAGCGATACTTGATAAAAAAGTTTAGTATATGCCAACACGTTAATATGGTTCCAATAATGGATTCCCAAGTATGCCAACACGTGGTGATGAGTTGTAGTAATTAGTTTCTTGAATTGGAAGATTGATTTTGGCTTGGATCATCATTATTATCAGCACTCTACATCCTGCTTAAATGATCCCATACATATGGTGGAAGATATATTGGTTGGTGCACGCTCACTCTCAAATGGTTTCCGTGGCAGGGTTCATCTTTTGCCCTCTGGCCATGCCCACTTAAACTTGTTTCTTGTAGCTATTACATTCACTGAAACCTATCATTTCACCAGTTACGTGCACCAAAGTTTCTATCTTGTCGAACCCCTTAATGCCAGGTAAAGACAACAATATGTAGCCGTCGACAAGAAGAGCCTAGAAAAAGGACAACACCATTAGAAGTTGCTCTTTTTCTTTTTTTTTTTTAGGCAACGATGACATTTGTATAAATTAATCTATCATATTCTAGACAGATAGCAGATATATAAACCTGACTACACTAAAGAGTTGTTCTGGCACCTCCACTGAAATTTTTTTAAAACAGGCGAAGTTCAAACTCCCGACCTACAGTTCAAAAAGGGAGAGATTTAGTCCCTTTTTTGTGGGAACTGAACCAAATTAGAAGTTGCTCGTTCAACTGAATATTGAATAGTGCAACACTTGAAATGAATTATAAACCGCAAAATAATCTCCTTTACAAATAGACGTGTATATATATTAGGGCTGTTCCGACATCAAAAGCTTAGTACAACACCTCCATTTTATTAGTGTGATAGTAATGATCATATCATACTCTTATGTCGTCCATCATTAGTGTTAGTATAACTTTGTTGGTGGCAAAAGGGTCGTCCCTTTTTAAGTTTAAGCTGCTAGTCACGAAATGGACCTATAGCTCTATCAGTATAATATCCACAAAATTAAAAATTTTACATTTAAACGGAACAAATCTTATACTTAAAGGATTAAAATGAAATAAATTTTAAAGACTAAAATATCTTTGTTTAAAGTATATAGACCAAATTAGTGAGAGTTAGGACATAACTCCAAGCTGACAGTAGAATTGAGCCACGAGCTGAACTTTGAAACCCTGTGGATTTTCCAGAGACCAATCTCATTCTTTCTGGAAACCAAGGCAGAGAGTGTATCAGAGATTGTTGGTTACAGCTGGGGCAAACATATCCATTGGGATTCATAATTTGGTCCTGGCTCCTTCTGTTGTATATTCAGTTTTGATTGATGCTGATCACAGCGGTCGAAAACTTTCTAAACAAAAGCTTTTACCCTTTTCCGGGGTCTAAACCATAGAAGTCTTTTTACAGTTTGATGATGGCAGGCACCGCACGGCCTATTGCTCTCTCGGTTCTTTTCCCACAGTTACTCTCTTGTTTGCCCGGTCACTGACTGGTACCAACCAGTTCTCATTTTATTACAATGTTCACGTGATTTTTGCTGTTTTAGAGGTGAAAATATCACTAGTTATCTAATCCTAAAAAATTTCCTCCCTCGATGAAGATGCCCATCTGGAATTTACGAGTAAATGGGCTATGATGTATCTTTCTTAGTTTTGAATGAAACTTCAAACCAAAGCTAAGTACAATTTCAAGATAATATTTGTAGTCAAGAATCCAACATATGGTTTAGCACAATAAACTCTGATTCGTTAGTTTCTCCCCGTTTGCTTTTAACCTCCCCTTCTCTTTTGCAAAGTCTACAAGATGAATCCAAACTTCGATTATAATCATGATTAACAATACAAACTTATAATTACTCATGAAGTTGTACAAAACCTGCAAACTTTGTATTACTCGAGAAATTCTCATATACCAAAGGTAAGAGTCAGTTTTTGGACTTTTCTTGATTATAATCTGTCGCACGAGTCCTTGAATGACTCGAAGGCACACGAGCTGGTGGATATTTGTGCAGCTCGTGCTAATATTTGATTTCCCACTAATGCATGCTTCATTGGAAACTTTTTTTGGCTAGTAATGATGAGCTGCATGATCAATTGCGCATATAATAGTCAAAATTCGAAACAATTTATTGCCATTATGGACTTTTTACTTGTTTTTTTTTTGTCGAAGATCAATTTGATTGCATAAACTTGATATCACAAAGTTTTGTACAACACCTCTACTTCCATTGTAATCATTTTGTGCACTCTCTTGGAGTCACATGGGAAAACTTTCTTGCCCATTCAACATTTCTAACTAGTTGGACAGCAAGTTTTGCTAGCATATGTGCACACTTGTTTTTTACTCTATGAACTTTTCGCATTTGAGGTTTGAAAGAAGCCGTTTATTGCTGAAGAAGAGGAGTTCATAAATTTACATTTGTTGTATGGTTTACGACTAATCCTGTTCGATCCATATCCACAGCTTCAATGATTTTTACTTCACAGTTAATAACATATTTTGGGATTAAGTATAGTATTTACCAAATCCATAATTTTGATTAAAACTAGCCAACTAGGTGTAAGCCCACACGAATTGTATATTACATTTGTAATATGGGCTACTTGGGGCATGCGCTCTTCGTAATCAAAGCCCAAAGAATTTCAACGGACTCCAATTTCCATTGGAGTTCCTTGAATGTGTTGGACACGTGTAAGGGTCCCCCTTTTCAGAATTTTTTCATGGATCAGTTGGAAAAATGCCATAAGACCCTTGACGTCTAGCCCGAAAATGATTTACTGTGAATTCCTAACCCTTCAAAGGCTTGGGGAAGTCTGCACAGGTAGAAATCTCGATGCATTAGTATTCAATAGACTTTTCTTCCTTAAAAACCTATGGTGCTCGCCAACTTTCTCGAACTAAATTGTGGCCGCATAACGATCTAGGCAATGTCTCAGAGAGAGTCGGTGAAATAAACACGTCTGGCGGAAAGACCTTATAAAGCTTTACTATTCTCAGGGAATAGCTTTGGGTCTTTCCTGCCCAACTTTGGTGGAATGAACTATGAAGGCGTCCTTTCAAGGGGTCCAGGCCATCAATAAGATACCGTTCTAGAAGAGTTAGAATTCTAACATTGACCTATGAACCAAGGAACACTCTCAGGTACACAGTTTCTATAGGGTATAGGACTCCCAAAAGGTAACGAAGGCATGCAAAGGTTTTCTCGAGTTGAACGGAGATAGGCTTTCCAGTGTAAAGCCAGAAGGGAGTTTGATTGCAAGACCCGCTCGTTGAACAAGGATGAAAGTCAGCCTTAGTGATCCGACCGGTGCCGTCGCTCAACTCAACGAATAAAAGTTACTCATTTATGTCTAATAATGAAAAATAGAACATCTGAATTAATTAAATAGGATTGAATTTTTTAAATAAAACTTGTTTCTAAAAATAAGTGATAAGTTATTCTTTTTTTTTTCATTTTTCCATTTACTAACTCATAATCCGATCTTGGTAACTAACTATTTGCTACTTGACAATACGAAAGAGACTTTTCAAGTAATTAAATATTATTCAATGGATGAAAATGGGAAAATTTATAATCCTGATCCATCCAATAATATTATTTTGAATCCATTGAATTTGAATTTGTATTTTCGCCATCACAATTATTGTGAAAAGATATCTACAATAATAAGTCTTGGACAGATTATTTGTGAAAATATGTGTATAGTTAAAAATAGACCACACCTAAAATTGGGGCAAGTTATATTTATTCAAGTTAACTTCGTAGTAATACGATCTGCTAAACCTCATTTGGCCACCTCGGGTGCAACTGTTCATGGCCATTATGGGGAAATCCTTTACGAAGGAGATATATTAGTTACATTTATATATAAAAAATCGAGATATAGTAATATAGCGCAAGGACTTCCAAAAGTGGAACAAGTATTAGAAGTGCGTTCGATTGATTCAATATCGATGAATCTACAAAAGAGGATTGAGGGTTGGAATAAATGTTATATTTAATGTGATATACACTCATATGTATCACATTAGTGCTTAACAATCCAGTAACTTAATGGGTTCATATTTCAAACTTTAGATTTCATATTTGAGTTTTCAAATTTCAGTTTAATGAAATGAACCTAACTTTTGTTTAGGTTACTTTCTTTTTTTTTTTCCCCACCAAAACAACTTATTACAATTGCGCGGAATCATAGTTTGAATCCACTTGAATGCCTCTGTTTAACAAAAAGCTAGAAGCCACAAAATAACTCATTAGATTTCAGTGCTTAAACTGTTCAAACTGTTGAGAATTTAGTCTTAGCCGTTTAGATTTGTGAACAATGTTGACTTCTAAATGTGCAAGTCCCTTGAATCTACAATTTGCAACCCGACTTCATCTTTGAGAACCACTAAA